CCGATGCGGGACTCGATCCCAGGACCCTGGGATCATGACCTGAGCCGAAGGCAGACGCTTAACCGTCTGAGCCACCCAGGCGCCCCCTTCCCTCAGACTTTTAACAGCAAAAACTGAAGTTCAAGGCAATGGAGCAATTCCTTCAATGTTTTAAGAGGAAATGATTTTCAACCTAGAATTCTAAAACCAGCCAAAAAAAAAAAGGTGTGAAAATAAAACTAAGATATTTTCAGAAATATAAACCCCCCCCAAAATACATTTCTCATGAACCCTGTAAGGAAACTATTGGAAGATGTACTCCATCAAAATGAAGGATTAAACCAAGAAAGGGGGAAGACACAGGGTCTAATGTAAGAACATAGGGAATTTTCATGGTGACAGTGAAGGAAGACCCAGGAGAACATCCATGCAGTGGGCCTGCAAGGAACTTGACACGTAAGAAAGCTCAAAGAGAGATGAATTAAGCAGATGAAATTTATAGAACACCTGACGAGTGTGAACATATTAGAGGAGATTGGCACAACTGGGTTGGAGTTTGGGGGTTGGACTAGGGATACATAAAGAGAACACCAAGCAAATGAAAAAAACTCTAGGGAAAGCAAAATATTGTGCCCAAAAGCAAATGTAGTCATAATACACTTCACATCTGTGGATAACATTTACAGAAGTATAATAACAGAATCACTAAATACTGGTGTAGCCAAAATAAAACACAACTGTTTTGGGAAAGTGGGGGGATGGAAAGCATGCATGGTGGGAAGGAAGAGGTATTCAAAAAATAAAAACTTCATCTTCCATTTTGGAAAGTCAATAAATAATTCCTGAAATGGGCAAAAGCCAAAAAGAGGCCACATATACATATTATTTAGAGACACAGAAGCACTTACAAGATTGATCAAAAGGCACTCTAAGCAGTTGTCTCTGGGGAGGAGAAATTGGAGGCTGAAGGTGTATATGGGGATTCTTCTTCTTTCCTAATGAGTACATCTTATAAAATGACATGGCTTATTTGTTTGTGTAACTTTGATAATAAAACATAAATTTAAAAACTTACTGTGAATTACAAAGATTTTTTAAAAGGCCTTGAAATCAAACTGGAAAAGAGTAAGAGGCCACAATAGCAAGGTCCTAACCCCACAAGAGCAACACATCATCAATTTAAAAAGTTCCCTGATTCTACATGGATTAACTAAAGATTATGTGTTGGTGTTAGTCTGGCCTTATTTACCAATTTTACTGACTTTTGTAGACCCCAACCAACTAACCTTCAGAATAGGGCAAATGTTAATATAAAGTGGGTGGTGATGCTCACTTTAATTTTTTAGCAAACTATATATAATTCCTACATTGGGGGCCCTGAGGTCACTTTTCACAAAGGACCCATTTAAAAAAAAAAAAAAGTTCTAATAAATAAGTAATACCGCTCCTCTTTGGTAATTACAGTAAATTATTTACCTTTGGTACTCTTAGCAACATGCACTGGCAACATTAATTATTGAAACAATGAATTATACCACGCAAGAAGGTATCACCGCCATCATGTACTATTTATGGAGGTGGGAGCATGCCAGCCCCTGGATTCCAAGTCCCTGCCAGTCCTTCCTGACTCCTTTACCCTCCAAAGTCTCTGCCACTCACTGAAACTTTGTCATCACACAAATGAACAAGTGTATAATGAACAAATACACTTGGTCAGAATGACGACCTGTATACCCCAATAGTTGTCCCAGTTTTTTTTTTCCCAGAGAGGTTTGCTTAGGTTTATGAGCAATAAATGAGACCTACCAATTTTAATAAGCTAAACACAAAGAGCTTGCTCTTCCTGTGCTGCATCCATCTAAACACAAAATAAGGCAATTTGACAGAGCCTATATTTTTTATAGAAAGAGACTGAATTTATAGCTTCACTTCTGAGCTCCCTGTCTCCAAATACTTATTTCTACCGATTAGCATTTATTTAAAACTGAAATGTCAAATTTCACCTGTT